GTTGTCCCGTGGAAGGCCATAGCCCCCACCTGGCCTTGTTCACCTTGCGGAAAATGTCGACGACGTGGCGATCCGAGAACCCCGGAAACGCGGAGGCCTAACCCAAACGCGCGGCGACCGGCGCTACGTGGCAACTTTCGACGGCCCGACTCATCGGAACCCCACCCACCCCGAAGGGACCTTCCCGCAAGCCGCCGCCCTCGAAACCAATGCCTCGCCCGACCCTGAGTGGCCCGCGCATGCCCTCTGCCTTATGACCAGGGTCGATCCGCCCTCTCCGCCCAATTGCACCCGTGCCCCCGAAAAACCCTGCCACATGAGATCTCAGTTCTGACCTGGGACTCCACCCCCACTTTCCCAAAAATCCTTGGCACACCCCTTTTCGCACTTCCAGGCCCACATCCTACTCCGATCAGGAAGTCGCGCTGGGCGTGAGGTTGGGGCGTCACACCCCAGCCAGACAGCCTACCGTCCTTCCCCTAGCTTACCCAAGGCCAGGCGGAACTCAGACTGACAGTCCTACCGTCCTTCCCCTAGCTTGCCCCTATCTTGGCTAGGTGGAACTCAGACCTGCTGGGGTAACTACCGTATTCTATACCCTAGAGTCTAAGTCCATTCTACCCCTCCCCCAGTCAACTGTAGATGCATGTAAGCCCTTAGGCCATATGTATGTGCTGAGGAAGCCATGGATGTAGGCTATTTATGATGTATGTGTGTATATCCAGAAGCCAGTTGTATACCCGAAGGCAGTATGATCATATATGGGGGACAGAAGGTTAAAGGAGAATCGAACGACCAAGACCAACACCCCAAACAAGCCCTGTGGAACCCAGAACCAGCATACAACACCCCGGACTTGATCCCCTGACTAATACAGGCAGGGTCTGTAATCATAACCATGTAGTGGTCAGAGGATAGTGTATGTCCAGCCGTGCGTCATTCTAACGCCCTGCCGGTGTCCATGCGCAAGGCTGCAGATTTGAACCCACAACCTCATACCACATTGCGCATTTCCAGCCGGTGCTCTAACCACTGAGCTACATCAACTGGACAATTGAATTCAAATTTCCAGTGCCTCACTGCTGCAGGGGCAGCACAGGAAGATGGGTGCCCCTTACAAGGGCATATGTGGCAGAGCCCAATGACATGGGACCGCCAGTTGAGGGAGGGCATCCTGGAAAGTTGCGCACACTACCGACAGGGGCCTGCCGAAAAGATTTTTAGGCCCAACGGCGCGGCAGGGTAAATCAGCTGTCGGAGGGGCACGACGCAAATTAATGGAAAATACAGGGGCGCCAGACAAATTTTCTCTTGGATATTTTGCCTCCTAGAGAGCTTGGTTCAGATGGTGTCAAGTGGTAACCTGTCATCTTTATCTGAGTCCCATACATCTCTGCCCTGGATGATACCCTTGCAAATCCATGTTTTTTTTTTTTTTTTTGGACAAATCCATGTTTTGCCAAAGCTGCCCACCACATCCGCTGCCGGAAAGGGGTTATGGTCTTCCATCCCGATGATATTGTTGTCAAAGAGGGGTTGAAGTATGATCTCTGATCTCGTGTTTGGGCACTCTCGGGCGTTAAGGCAGGACTTTGTTCCAAGCAATTAGGAAGTTCCTCCCTTTTCATTTTTTTTTCATTTTTTTTTTTCCTGAACTCTTGGGGCGCTTCCTCGCGAAGGACGGAATTGAACTAGGCATCTTCCCGAATAACCAAATCCCATTCCCCCTCCACAATATATTTAGCAAGGCAGCTGTTTTTTTTTTTTTTTTCCGTTTAGGCGCCTGGAAAGGTCGAAGGCCCACCCGAGGCCCTCTATTTTCCCACTCGGCAAAGGTACTACTCGGGGCTAGGTCCCACTTGCACGACTTAAGAGATACTGACCGTAGATAGCAATGATCAACGGCCGAAATCTCCTAATCGGCGCAAGTGGGACCTTGCCCCCGGTAGTGGTGCCCAACCTTTTTTTTTTTTTTTTTTTTTGGGAAAAATGCCCAACCAATTCAATTACCTGTCATCCTATAATGACCATAAAACAAACCCTGACAAAGATCCGTCTTTTGGTGGGGAACCTTTTATTCCCCACTGCATCCATTGCTCCTGGCGTTTTTTTTTTTTTTTTTTTTCCAGCGTTGGTTTTGTGGTGCGTCTACGTCTTGCGACGAGGATGTTCTCACACTGGACCAGTAGCAGTGTGCGTAAGCGCCCTTGCGTAGGTGAGCTTCTGCCTCTAGGAAGAGAAAGGCTTGTTTAATCTTTTTCTCTTTCACATTGCGGTTACCGGCCAGAGCGGACAGTGTGTGCTTGTGCAGGGTCTGTCGACCGGGGTATGGTCTCACCTCGCTGGACAACTCTCTCTCTCTCTCTCTCTCTCTCTCTCTCTCTCTCTCTCTCTCTCTGTGCATGGCTTTTGGCTGAGATCAAGTGAAGTGTATGTTCTCCTCCCTGCACTACAAACGACTCCGCGTGTTGTCAGCCTTTTGCCTAAAAATGTGTAGAGAAAGGAAGGCGTAAACGCGTCATATCTTCTCGTCTCTCTCTCTCTCTCTCTCTCTCTCTCTCTCTCTCTCTCTCTCTCTCTCTTTTCTTCTTCTTTTTCTTTTCTTTCTTTCTTTCTTTCTTTCTTTCCTTCTTTCTTTCTCTCTTGTTTCTTTCGTTTCTTCCCTTCTCCTTGATGGCAATGACGAATGGACGATATAATGTTGGATGATCTGGGCATGGCTGTCTGAGAGAGAGAGAGAGAGAGAGAGAGAGAGAGAGAGAGAGAGAGAGAGAGAGAGAGAGAGAGAGAGAG